TAAAACTAAAAAGAACAGACATCCAGTCATTAAGGGATGAAAGTTATTTTTTAAAGTATTCTGCCAAGTCCTTATAAATTTAAATATGCTGTATTTATGTCTGGGATATAATGCAAATATGTTTGAGTTCAATACAAACATATTGCTTTTATTGTATGGCAGATGTGAATTACATGAAAGATAAAACAAACAGTTTTCCCACATTGTTTGTTTGGTGTTAAAATGGTTTTAAATGCAATTATTTTCTAACATTGTTGGATTAGGGACAACGGTTTCTAGCAGCCAAGTATTAAAGGCTGGGCAAAGCTAACGTTTGGCGGCAATAGATGTTGCATTAATCATGGCCGCTCTATTTCTGTGGGCTTAGAAGGGGGAAGAGAGTAGTGGGGCTGGGAAGAAGAGGGAAGACACAGCAGAGTGAAATGTGTATTTATGGAGAATTAGCTCCATCCAGCTTTGCAGCGGAGAGGATGCCCCTATGAGAACTGTTAAGATACGATTTCACACAAAGACCAATAGAGAAATCAATTCTCCTTGAGATGCAGCAAGGTCACTTCATCAGAGCTGGTTAGAGCAAAGGAAACGAGGAGGCTGAGGTAGTCCCCAAAGAATGGAATGAGCAGCATGGGAGATATGTGAGCCTGTTATTGGAATGAATGTAAAGACAAAATGCTAGACAAGTAAGACAGGAACCGAGCAGAACGACAGTTTTCACAAGGACAAACGGATTATTCAGGATTCTTTGTGGTGTAGTCTGATATGGATACATATTTGATACATCAATGGAGTACGCTTGAAGTGGATGGTTTAATCTTTGTGATTGTGTAATTAAAATGCGTATCTACACACACCATCAGGAATAAAAAACAAGAACATAAAAAGATGACCAAGAATGCCACAGTCTCTGTTTCTCATGATTCTACTCGTATGCTTTCCAAGTACACACTCATTTCCAGGCAATGTTTTAATGAACTGTGTTAGCTTTTACTTCCAAGTAGCCTTGAGGGTACAGCGTTTAATCCTTAATGTGACATGAAGGGCTCAAAATAGCCTAAATCCATGCTCTGATGCCTCCTAATAGATAAATCTGCCCTAGCAAAAATAAAACAACAACTGAGAAGCAGGTGAAGGTAAAGCTGTTTAGTTTTAGCATCTTTAATAGACACCACGTCTTTTTGACTTTGGACATGGGCTATAACAGGTAGTTATAGTATCCGTGTGCATGGGGGAGGTCTTAGCTCTGGTATGCGCACCTGTCTCTACACAAGTCCTGCCCCTTGAGAGAGGGGCTTTGCCACAACCTGCAGCAGCTCCCTGGCCCTGAGAGAGCTGGGGAGATGTGGGTAGGAGGGAGGGAGGGAGGGAGGGAGAGAGAAAGAGGAGGCCAGATCAGGTAAGGTGCCTGAGGTATGGATTAGAAGGCTGTAAGGGACAAATAGGTAATGTGGTAACTGAGGTCACACACTTGCACTATGTTACCATGTCAGCACATGGCACATGATACACAATGCTGTTTTCCGGTCCCTGTTTGTCCTTTCACAAAAGTCCTCATTGTCCCCTCTGGTTTGCCATGACTTTGGTTAAGTGTATGTCGCACTCTCAAACTAACCTACTGATACACAATGTAACATAAAGACAGTGGAGAACCCAGCCATTTAGTAGTTCCATAAAATTAGCATATGCAGAATCTCCAAAGTTGGTGCAGTGAGACATCAGTGGCTACACATTGCATTCCTCATGTTTGAATGGTTAATGTTGAGGCTTGTTTTGAAGATCACTGACTAATTTCACATGAGGAGTTTGACAGAACATTGATTCATTACAACACAGTCTGACAATTACTGTGCCATTCATTCTCCTCTGCACATGGTGTGTATTTGAGAAATACTATTTACAGTAGTAGTGCAAAAGCAAGTTTTTTTTGTCTTAGCTCTGGGCCAATAATCACCAACCAGCCAGCGCCACAAATCTTCATTAGGGGATTAGGCAGCAGGGAGACAGCTTGTGTTCTTTGGCTTTTATTGGTCACCACACATCCAGCATTATCAAACTTAAAATCTGCTTTTCTCGTCTCCTTTAAAAGAAAACCAGGGGACAGGAAATCATATACTGTATTGATCTCAGTAAAAGAACACTGTCTATTGACATTTGTGTTTGTGACACTTTATATAACTCTGCTTTGTGAATAGAAAAAAAAACTCTTCAAACATGATTTAAAATGGGCGAGATCATGTTTTGGAAAATTGCTTGCTTTAGCCAATGTTATTTACCAATGGTATAATTGTGGTTGTTTCTTTGTATCAGTTTAAATGATGTACAGCAAATCTGTTTAAAAAAAGTTTATTTCAATTCATGCTTGGACTTTTTGATTGAAGGGCAAGTTAACCGATTAATCACAACTAATCAATAATTGAAATGGTTGTCAGCTAAATTAATTAGTCTGTTAATAATTTCTTTTATAACCACACCTGGAAAAAAACATTCAAAGAAAAGGTTCTATGACTCCGGCAGAGCTACAGAGCTATTACTACAGAATGACATAGACATCACATCTAGTCACATCTAGAAAATGTCCCTGAGTACGCTCACTTTAGCTTTGTTTTGGTCAAATCTCTAAAAACACTGTATTCACCAGATTGAAACAACTAATCGGTTAGTTATAAAACTAACCGCCCAACTCATTATCAAAAAATATCGTCAATTACAGATCTAGTGTCTTTTTATTACTAGTTTTAAATTACAAACTGTAAATAATATTTGATATAAGGTAGTTTTTCACCTGGTACTTGAACTTTTTGCTTGATCACATTCACTGCAGTGCTTTCTATTGTAAGACGAACATTCTCTGCACATATTTTGGTAATTGGTCATTTTGATTTGCTCGGGCCCATCTGCCCGTGAGACATCCACTCTCTGCATCTCATTGTTTCATTCTGTCCCCCGCTCTGTGCATATGCTTAGACCCCTCCAATAACACTCATACGTGCTGTCACTTTGTTCCCTTGAGGAGCATTAGCTGCCCACTGGCCACTCGTACTCAAGACAGAACAAATTAAGGTCATACCAGAGAGAGCGGCGCCAGGAAAGGACACCCCCGTCTGCCAGGCAAATGTAGATGTGCCAGCCTCTGTATTTGTGCCCACGCTGATCTCCAAATAGGGGTTTGACACGAACAGGGATTTTGGCATGCACAAACTGCACAAATAATTTTCAAATATGATTGTAATCGTTAATCCATGCCCAAACCAGGATTAAGAGTTGTGATTATATAGTTTTGAACAGCCCTGATAAACATTTTCTTTGAACATCACACTCTACCTAGACTTCTGTGTCATACTTTGAGCTATATTCTTTATAAGTTGCGCCTTAGAGACTGTCCCATCCAATTGGAAAGTCCCTCTCATTGTTTCCTCTTGGACATAATAGGTACTGCCTGTGACTTTGACAAAGTTTTGGGTAGAATACTTATGTAATGTATTCTGTTCCTGAATGAAAAAGTAGTGCCTGTAGTCCGAATACTTAGAATACTTTTATTTATACTTTTAATATTAGAAAAAATAGAATCTTCATTTTAAGAATATGCAACGTTTTCTTTTTTTTAACCTTAAAAATGTAATGTGAAAAAGTATGTATTCCTTTGATTTTCAGAAAGCAACTGTATTCAAAATACTAGACTTTAAAGTAGTGACTGTAATGGAATACAGTTTCTCAGAAAGAGTATTTTGAATATGTAATGGCGATACATGGGATTTCGTTGCTCCCCAACACTGTATGAGCTTGCATGTCCGCTGCAGTTGCTTTGAGGGAGCTGAGACTCACCTGTGGCTGTGATCATTGAAGTTGTCCAGATACAATTCTCATTTAGTTTGTAGAGTGTATGACTTTTAACTAGCTGACATTATCTTAATAAAACTGTATTTGTCCGTCCCTTTTATGTCCATAAACCGAAATGGAAACCACAAAGGGTATGGACTGAGTTTGAATATTAAATGTATTCTTTTATGTGAAAATAATAGTGCTTCTCTCTGTATGACAGGATGGCAAGATTTGTCTTTGAATTGGCTTGGACATTGTGTATAGGTCAGGTGCGGGCGGAGCAATAAATCAAATTAATTCTGTTTTTAATATATTGATATTTGATAATGTGAAAAATGTCTAAATCCGAATCAGGATACTTTGTGAGTTTCTGCTTCCTCCGCTGCTTTGCTCTGGGGCTTCTGTAGGGTGGCCGAGTCGTGCAAAGTGAGCGCAAACTTTGTGTCGTCCTGAAACAACAGTGTGTTTCCAGAAAAGGCACAACAAGGTGATGTCAGCGTCGGCACAATACTTCAGTCTACTTTCAGTCATTTTATGTTTTCAGCAGTAGTATAAAAGCTAACGATAGTTAGAATCCATAAATACATTCATACGTTATAGATTAGTCCATTAATGTAGAATGCAAAACAGGATTTGGGTAAACTCAGCAAAGCGATTGACATTTTCCTTCGCTAACATGACGTCACTCCTGAAGCCAAACTATTCCCACATTTTGGGACTGCTGTGTCTTTTTGTGTTTGCAATATGGATCTCTTATTTCAGCCAACGAGGGTCTGTGGGGATGCTCTATGAAATGACAAAGCAGGACGGGCAAAGTACGAAGAATCGTGGTCAATGCAGTTTACAATGTTTTGTTTCGCAGGAGCCTGATTTTTCTTGTTCTTTTTTTTACAGATACCGTTAATACCCTAACACTACCACAGCACTACCATCGACACGCAATATCACGGTCTCGTCAATATTGTCGCATCCCTACTTGCGACAGTCATTTTTTATTAAAAAAAACGTATGATAATCAAGTAATGATCTTTCAATGACTACAAACCTCTATAGTCATCTGCATTCTCCTTTGACTTAAATTGTCGCTGATGGCTGTTTAGTGAGTTATATGTTGTATTACCCCTGTGCATGTTCCCTTGACAAACACAAGTCCTTTTGTGTGCTTTGACATGCTACAGCTCTACCTATGAGCTCTGGAGGGTCGCAGGGGTTGGTGAGGCCTCGATGTGCCCGCAGAGCTCCCCTCTGGCGCGGGATCGTATTCTGCCTGAGTGTGCCTGCTGTAATCCATCGCTGCAGGGGGGGTGACCTTCACAGCGGTCTGCGACACTGGCTTTGAGACAAACCTGCCACGCTGACAACACCCAGGCATCTAACGGCACCTCTTAGATAATTACCTTTTCACATCCACACTCCCGGGCAGTTGCTCTTTTTCCTGTGTCAGCGTTAATTAATTTTCAAGTGATGCGGCATGTACCATCATCAGTGCCAATAATGTCATCGAAGCTACACCTACTCTGAGTAAAAGTAAAAAATGTTCAAGTTGGCACCTTAAATGTTTGATTTGAAAGCCCAAGATAGAATTTCTAAACTTATTGGCAGATACGTGGCAATGACGCGCCCAAATAAGTCCCCCCTCATGAATGATGCAAGCTCCCTGAGGCTCTGATGGAGAGGAGAGAGTAGCAGGCTGACAGCTGGAGTGCGCTGTGTGTGCATGGTGCAGAACAAGGTGAGACGTTATGGTAGTCTCTCCTTTCTCTCCCCTCAGTCTCCTCTTATCCACTCACTTTTATATCCACTAAATCAAGATCTCTCAGTGGAGTCGTTACGTTGCTAGTCTCCAAGAGCCCAAACCTGCTCACTGACCTTAACGCAGTCTGCTTTAGTGATCTGTGCCTTGCTTTTTCTTTGCACTTTCTCTCACGTCTGAGCCCCGTCTTTATTTGCAGGAACAATCACCGTATTTCCCCCCTAGTGTGCTGTGATGCAGAAGTCACTGCCTCCAATCTTTAGAAGCAATGTTAGTGATGTTTGCCTTAAGATCATGTATCCATATAAAAACATCTATGGTGTAATGCAGCGTCATGTAGGAACATGTAAATGGTTACATTAGGGTAGACACTTTGAACAGCTGCAGCTGCAGCTTTGATGTGAATGATCATGTATGCAGCACACAAAAGCAGTATAAAATCCTTAATTTAAGTTGATTTTGTATTCCAGACATTTAAGAATTATGACTGCGCTCTGGAGCTGTGGTCAGATCCAGATGGCATTTAAAAGGTATATGATTCAGTGAGCATTTATACTACACTTTGAATCACAACTACCAAACTTCTATTTTATTTTTATAATGTGAGTGATGACGTTTGATATTGAATTTCAACTTGTTGTCCATCAAATATAGCACGACCCTTTTGATGTAGGAATATAATAGGTAATGATGATAATTTATGTTGAAAACAATGGTGATGTCAAGTGCTGTCCATTACGGGCAATATTAAAGATGATTAAACATTCTGACCTAGTGCAGTAGCCCCTTTTTCTTTTATTCTGTAAAGAAAACTGTTTGGTTTCTACATATATATAATGCATTTATACGTTATATACATACGTAATTATTTGAGTCTTCATTATATGTGATATCTCCTCAATATCTAGGAGTTATTGACTCTGAGTTGTAATTGATTGAGTTGTAGGGCTGTGCCAAAAAAAAGTGAATGGGTCACCTTGCAGTCATTATTATTTCGAATTGAATGAATGATTGAAGCCTTTATTATGGACTGAGGGTCTGACATAGACCCCAAAAAGATAGAACACACAAGTAAAAAAAATAAAAGACAGCTACTGTATAGCAGTGTGTCCACATCCTTGACTGGTAACGGGCTGCACTACAACGGATATCAACTAATGAGACAACTATTTCATTGCCAGACATGCTCAATCGTCCAATGAAGCTGTTCATAAGTGACCGTAGTGTGGTCTGCAAGGTGTTGACACTTGTTGAGACAAACATCTCACTCGCACTGGTCCATCTCGGTCTCCTGAGAAGCACTCGGAGAGCATCATTATATGCCACATGCAGCTTTTCCATATTTCCTTTTAATTGTATTATTTGTCATGCCATTATTATGTTGTTTTTTTGTTGTTTGTTTGAATCAGAAAATTGATGTTGGTTAATGAAAGGAGGAAAAAATGTGTTTATTTTTTTTTTTCCCCCATCGCGCCTGCTCTAGGTGCATTATTGATACCATTAAGAAATAAAGTGTTGCTTGAGATAATAGTTGAACCGTTGCTGGTGATAAACAACCTGTTCTGCTACACTATGTTGTTTGTGGGAATGGAACAGTGACAGATTCCAAAACTCATCACAAATTGATTGAGTAAGCATTTGAATAAAACATTGTGCAGGCAAACACCATCTCTGGAGAAAGCCATTAAATCCTGGATTAGGCACACGGCTGTTAATGCAGTTGGTTGGTTTGCAAAGGCCCTGAACCCACAAACAAACACATCAGTCTAAATAACAGTGTGTCACCATGCGGAATGATTACCCTTCTAATCCGAGGGCAACACCACGCACACAAACTTTGCCAAAATTACAGCGTTTTGATTTGTGCTACCATCGGTACAATTATACGTTACAATATGTTCTGTTGACATGTACACACAAAAACATAACACGGCATGTGGTGTTTAAAAATCTCTTCTCTGTCGTGATAATGCCTTCTAAATCTGCGTTGAGAGTGTGAGATTTCAGAAGGAGACATGGTCTATGGGGGAGGGGTCACAATCACTCATGCGTGTTCTATTGTCCCCTTAGAGAAGATTCATAAACCCTAAAATTCTTACACTTTTGACGCAATTTTGGTTAAACCTATGTTTGTCATTCTAACAGTATCCCTCATACTGTTAGAAAGTCGGTGATTTTCCACTTGATGTTTTTGTTATCTGAAAGCCAAAGCTACTGGTGCCGTGGCAGGTGCTGATTGGAGTGTCTGTGATTCCTCCATGGTATAGAATCACATGCACGCAGCAAATCTTTAGACATATCTCTTTGTAACGTCAACAAATGTCTTCTGTCTGTGGCACGACCCCTGCACACTTTCTTCAGGTTCAATCTGCAGAGAAATAATACAACAAATCTCATTGTTTCTCCTTCTTTGCGGTTACTTCTTTGATTTAAATTATCTTTAAATATCCAAATTTGGAGCTCCCAGATCTTAGAAATGGTAATTTTTAAGCACAGAGAAGTTTGATTGCTTGATTAACTTCTGTTTGTTTTACTTCTTTTTTTCTTTGATTGGTTTTTTTAGCTGGCCAATCAAATGTGACCAAATACGGCTTAGAAATAGGCAGCTCGGGGGGCTGGTGCAGAGATCCAGACCGTCACAAATTTGTAATAATATTGTAAGATTGTGTGGTTCTGGCTGGTTAGGCTAGTTCAGCCCAGAACCTGTGCATATAAATGTAAATGAGGTTTAATTTGCGTTAAAGGTGAAATTAGATTCAAACCTAATCTATCTGAACGTGTGGGCTGCATACAATGTGATCATGTGGTAGATCACCCTCAAGTATTATCTATGAAAAAATTCAGTAAAAAAAATCCTTTAAATATAGTCATCAATAGTCAGGGAGACCTCTTCCACCATGTCATAGACAATGTTGACAATAGCTCTGTTTTGCAATGCTCCAAATATAGGGTCTGGACATGTATCTGTGTCACCTGCTCTCCTTGAGCTGTGGATATATTAGATAGATTTGTGCTGGTGCTGCAGTCTCTCACACCTCTGCTCTGCATGGGGTCACTGGGCTGTCCTCCAAAGACTGCTCTATGCATGTCAACGTCAGACTGCAGAGCCGCACAGGGGAAGGGAGAGGGCAGATGAGGGGGACTAATTTTGGATGCGACGCATGTGGAGTTAGGATAAGCATCTTCTCTCTGCAGCTCTCCTCCTCCTACTCCTCTGTTTGTTCAATTACTGCAGCAAGAGAGAGAGGCCATAGAGGAGATGCTCAGTGATGCAGGGCATGTTGAGTAGAATCTGGTGAGAGCAAAGCCGGTAGATGTTGTCATGTGAACTCTTACATACCCTTTTTTCCATCCTGCATTCAAAAAGTAAAAGAACAGGAGGTCTGTGAAATGTGACATGCAAATAAAGATTACTTATAGTAGTCTACCAAAAAACTTGACGAAGATATGGCATAACCCTGAACAGGTGCGGGGGCAGGATTGGCCAGGTACACTTAGATCAGAATAAAGGACATGGCAGGGAAATGTCGCACACTCACACACACAAAACACACCAAATGCAAAACAGGATCAATATTAAGGGCTCGGGACGTAACAAAATGACTCTGAAATATCTGTTTGGATAATGTTTGTTGGATCTAAATTGTGATTTAATAAATGGGTTTTTCTTGGCCCAAAACAGCCAAGCTTTAATTTTCATAGATATTATTTAAACATATGTAATTTTCAGTGTATGCATCAGTATCGTTTCAGACTATTTGGAAATGTATACTTAAATTTCAAGTATACATTTTTTGGGGTATCCGAAAAAGTTGGATCAGTGCATTTTTCATTATATATACAGTATGACACAGATAAGGCTACTACAGCTGCTTAGGGATATTTCGATCAAAGTTTGTGGACAAAATGGACGTGTCATCAAAAGTAGTTGGCATTTCATACCACTTGTGCTTTGAAGTAGGTTCAATAAGAATTTCATCTCAACATTTGATGGTTGTGAATATTTATAACTTGTTTTAGATACATTCGATTGGTACATTATACTTTTGCTTTATTATGAGTGTTTTGCTTTTAATTGTTGCTATATTGTTCTCCTTCAGTGCTCACCTGGGAGTCCCCAAGCTCCAAAACAAACATGTAGAAAACATGGAGCTTGAGCTGAGATCCGGCGTTCACTAACTCCAACTTCAGTGCGGGTCGGGACTTGCGTGTGTCTTAGGACATAGAAAGCGCATAAACCCAATGAGATATGTCCCACTGACCTCTGAGTACTGCGAGTGCAGGTGTGTGGCAACATTTGCAAAGGGGCAATTTCAGGCATTCTCGCGTTAAACCGTGACTTCGGACAAAACCACATCACAATTGACTGGAGTCAGTGAAACATACAAACCACACTCAATCTGTTTGAAATATGTACCACACCAAAGTCTGAGTCTGTGGAAACCGGGCGTCACCTGATTTCCTGGTACTCTATGCAAGTGCTTCCCTTCTCCATAAACTACCTGCTCTTGGTTGGTTTCAGCGCATGTTCGGAGCAATTATAGAGATGATATCCACTGTCAGTCAGAAGCTCAAGATGAAGCGGGGCCTCTTTAACATGCTAATGGAATGCCACATTCAATCAAGGCTTTGTAAGGCAGAGGGGAGGGCTGTGCAGCTCATTAAAAACAAAATCATAATAACAATGAGGCCTGGGCCACAAGGGTAGCAGCACCTTGGCCTGAGCTCCGACCCATGTAAGCTCTAGCTCTTACTACCTCTGTCTCAAAATCCTTTTTCACAATGTTACTTTCTATGATTGTGCCCTTGGGTGACACCAAACAAGAGCTGACAACAGGCCATGTGTTTCAAAACATTGTCGCATGGCATGTTTTTTAGATCAAGCTATGGACATGTTGGACATCAGCTTGGATTGTGAGTGGTTATAACTTGGCACAAACAAAAAAGAAAACATTGGTCCCAGTGACACAATTCAACATAATTACATTTCCAGACAGGTATTCTAAAACACCTGGATGCCCCAATGTATGGAGTGTGCTAACACTGAATATGCTGCAAGAGTGCAAGAGATGATCAGGAACTAGAACTAACCTTTTGCATTTTTACGTAAGCACTCACACAGCGGTGTCTCCTGGATTCTGACCCTGTCCCATTCATACAGGTGCAGTAGCTCATTTGCATTAGCACTGGGGGATCCTCTGATGTAATCCTGCTGTCACATCAGAAGTAGAGCATTGCCTCTCCTCTACTCTGTGATATCCTCATTACTCTCATTACCATGCAGCTTTGGCTTAGTTTTTCAAAAGGCCCAGATCCGCTTTCATCCACATTGCACTTTGTTTAAGATCTCTCCACGGAGGTGTGATTCATGATCTTCCTTTTATGCATTGCAGCAACACTGGAGGATGCAATCTAGTGTGTTTATGTCTGTGTGTCTTTCGACCAGAGATTTATTATGGTCGAGATCAACTAAATACCGCTGAATTATTCATGGGACTCTATCGTGGAAAAAAAAAATGCTGAATATACCTCAGCCCAGCTACGACAAAGTCTGTGAGGCAGGGACAAAACGAGAAGCAAAACGATGAGCTTAACTCCAGTAGAACAGCAGAAGGAAAATAGACAAGAGAGGGAAAACACTGTGACAAATGTGCCGCGGTTTATGTCAAGCACACCCCCGCCCTTCGTTATGTAATTAGTTACACCAGATAAATCTAGGTGTTTTGAGATGTGATTAATAGTGTGTTCCTTTTACGGTTATTTTTTTTTAACACATTAATTAGTTGTTGATCTGGCTGATTCATCAACAGTGTCAGGATGAGCATTTATAGAGTTCTTTGGCAAGATCATTCACGATCTTGCTGCTAGTCTCTGAGGCACAGACGTGTCAGAGTTTGTTTGTGGCCCTTGATTTGGCATGACTGTTGCTTCTCTGTCCATGGGCCACAGGGTGATACCTAAATACCTTAGTTTTACATGAACTCAACAATAAAAAAAAACTGTTCTATTTTAGCTGTTTTATTTTAATTAGTCACAGTGATAGATGCTGATTTAAACCAAAATGTCACTCTTGGACATTCCAATGACAAGTGACATTAGAGGCAGTGCCCGCAGCACTTAAAGAGATTGGAGTGTGTTGGACGCCCGAGGAGAGCAGAATCCTTGTAGAGGACACTTTGGTGAAGCTTCTGCAGGGCTGGACCGCATCAGTCTCCTCCCCCACACACTCTATTAGGCTGATAGCAGTTTGCCCTTTACCCCCTATACTGGGAATGAACTCGAGGGAATAAAGTACAAATGGGTTAGTGTGCTGGAAGAATGTATTTTATCGAAGAAGAGGATTTTTCATTGCTTCAGGTGCTAGTAGTAACCATGTAATAAATATCCATCAGTCACTTCACTCTACAGTAAACCGTCACATACATCCTGGCAATACCTTATAGTACATTACAGAGAGGTGAAAATACACTTTAATGTACATTTTGCTCGGAATCTTAAAACAATAGTAAGTTTCAAGCTACAAAAGTAAGTACGGTACTTGTGAAAGGAAGGACTCCAGTACACTGTCTACCTCTTATGAAATGTTGCATACAGCTTTTTGGTTTGTTTGTCGCTCATCAGATTTGTGGAGGTAGGTACAGTATACCTGATGAAGTACCTGCTGTTCTTCTACCGAGTCTCACTTCTCACACCAAAAGAAATAAGTGAAAGTGAAACTAAATTATATGGCTGTTTTGCTGATCCAAACTCACCATACTATCTTTAACTGACAAAAATCGCCATCGCTGCTGTGATTGGTTTTGTAGAACTAATAAATAAAAGGTTGTTTTAAGATCAGAAACATCAAACTAGGGCTGTAACAAATAACAAAAGCTTTGATCACATTGTGATTCCTTCGATTCACTGATCTACTTTCTGTGCTTGTTTTGAGTTGTTTCTGTGTGGTGCCTCCACTGCTCTGAATGTGACTCATTCTGCACTTAACAATAGCATTACACATCATGCACAACTCTTTGTTAGGAGTCTCCAATATGTTGACTATGAGACACTTCAAATGAACATTTAAAGTCTCATGGTGTTGCTGTTATATGCAATAAATTAATAGAAAATATGGCATTTTTTTTAACCAAACAAGACTAATTTAACCATACATCTATCCATCCATCCATCCATCCATTTTCTTCCCCTTAATCCATTTCTGGGTCGGGGGGGGTGGCAGTCAGAGCTGCACCCAGTACACATGGCACCAGCCCCTACCATACATCCATACAAGTTAAAAAGTGACTATCCCTTTAACGCCCCACCTCCCTCTTCCTGCTCCTCAGGGCGCAAGTCTAATCTCACTGAAGATCTCCAGCTTTTGTCCGTGTCCTGTGAGGTGTGCTCGCCCTGATCCACCTGTTTGTGCCTGGATGATAGAGTTCCTCACCTTGGGGCACAAGTTTCAGGGCGGTGGGTGGAAATAAAATCACTGTGTATTGTTCTGCACCTGGGCGTGTGACTGCTGCTAATTCTACCGGAAGAGGGAACGAGAATGGTTCTGACAATGAACGAATGTGTAGAAAAAAAAGGCCTATAGTGGGAGGGGACGGTGCAGGACACAGGTGGGAAAACATGCTCTGGTATGCAGCGTATCTTAGCCAAAAATGTCACCTTGTCCTCTCTCCGCTTCCTTGCCTTCCCTGCCTTCCCTGCCTGTTTATTTAACGCTACACTAATTCTGGCAGCATACTCTCTGTTTCACATTGACATCATCATACACTTCAGCCCTCTAACCACCGAGCATTACACCTATTCTTTCTTACGTATCACATTCTTAAACATTTCTGTAATGTCATCTATTGTCTACCCATAATACTGTATCTCTTATCAAAGACACAGACATTCCAGAAACATCTTGGGCTGCTCGGTGATCATCTTACCAATGTGGATGGCCCCCAGCCAAGGGAGGAGCGGTGCTCATTACAAAGACAAAAAAACATGAAAAAGAAATGTGAGAAACCAGGAAGAGCAGAAAGCAGCAGAGATTTTTAAAGAGAACCGAGAAGATGAATGGAATGCTCTCAAACTGTTTGTCCTTCAGTTGCTTGTGAACTCTCAAAAGGCAAACTGGAGGGAGGCTTTGATGCAGAGGGTAATGTGACCACCTCGTCCCAGGTATGATGTCATGTGGTCAGAATAGTCAATGCAATGAGGATTAGTGCTGGTTGACCTTTTTTCTAACTACCTCAAAAACTCCCTAGATATACAGTAAACAATAAAGATAAACGTTCTTCAGAAGTCTCCACAAATAAAATAAAAAAAAGATGATATATACACACATTGGTGAGACTCAATGCAAATGGTAATATCTTACTAGAGCTGCCACATTTAACAGAATCAAATCAAAAGTCTCTGCGCAGTGCAACATCGATGAAAAGATGGATTGACAAGTGTAATAATTTATTGATAAGAGCATAATTTAATTGTTTTAAAGAATAGTTTGTACTGGCGGTTTAGTTATTGCAGAAGCATTTGTATGGGAAATAGATTTAGATTTGTTTGCTTTGTTTTATTATTTTTGGTAACAAGACATTTTCCCCTTGTTCCTTTGGCAATTCTTTTTTGCTACAGGCATCTGCTCAAATCTGGATGACTAGAATTACTGTTTTTCTCTGCAAACAACAGTGTATTATTTTTTTGAGAGAATATTTTTGCTCTAAAGATACAATGTATTCAGTATACCTGTTCTAAAATTCTGATTGACTTTATTTTTTATAGCACAAATCAAAATCCTATTAGCATTCACAATGTTTAAAATGTTCATATGTATTATAAAGTGAGGTTTATTCATTTCCCCCCAAATATCCGAACTGAAAATGTCTATTATATAAAAGACTACAATGGTCATCTCTATGTAAATGTATGTATGAAATTCTTGTCAGATTCTAGACATGGTTGTGTCTCCTTCAGTGTGAGTGACCTTGTCTGTGCTGTAGGATCCCAGTGTATCAGCCCTCGTGTGCTCTCCCTCTGCGTCCCCTTCATCTGACTGTCCCCTCCCATTAGCCCTGACAGCTATTAGTCTGTCATTACTGACCTCAAAACAACACGCACACACTCCATCACTACGCAAAATGCACAGCCCCACTCAAGCATACTCATAATCAGAGCTATCCAAAATCATTTATGTGAAAAAAACACCTAATTATACAGCTGAGCATCATGGAGATAAACGTTGAAAAATGCATCGAGGCTGTAGCCAGATCCGGCATATTTTCATTAGGTCTATTAATCCTGCTGTGAATGGGTTGATGCGAGTTGTTGCATGAAACCAAATGCACAGTGTTGTCATTGATTTAAGGTGGAACCGAAGACAAACAGGATATCAGTCATGTGGGCAGAAATAGAGCTGTATCGTATTCCCAGACCACCTTTAGTGCCCTTGGACGGTCGGATAATGCTGTACAGATGCGTTGGAAAGGGAAAATTACTGAGTCAAAGGATTTGCAGGGATGATCATATGAACTGAGAAGGTCATGATCTGTTAGTGTGGAGGTGTGTGTGTGTGCGTGTGTATATTGTACAGTTCTTAAAGTTACAAAGGTACCAAAAGTTCAGCCACAACAGGACCAGGTGCCAACGGGAGATTTAGGCCCCAGATTAGGGAGGGTGCATCTGCTTTTGGAAACAAGCACATGTCCAAATGAAGGCTTTTATTTTTAGCATTGACATTGTATAGGACAACTGGGATAGCTACTGAGAGGTCTGTTGAAACCACTATCATGCATTTAGTTTTTGTTAACTAAAGATATAATTATATGGTAAAGTATAGTAGCGCTTGCCAAGGCCTGCTGCAAACTAAGGGGATTACTGTACATTCTGATTCCAGATAAAATAAAAATCCACTCTCTGATGAGCTCTTTTGAGCCTTTGCGCTAAAGTTTACAGTAAAAAAAGTATATTTGTTGCCATTTAGTATTTATGTAGTCTGGCATTTGAATGAGCGGCATATTTTTTTTGCAATTAGAAAAATGTATTTGTTTTAACTCTCATACATATTTAATTAACAATATTTTGTCTGAAACGCTTTCAAGCAAGTCCAGCATACTTGTTCACTTTGCTTTTTGTCATCTTGTGTCTGCCATAGATCGGTTGTGTACTGTATGTGTTGCTTAGGAGAGATCAGTGAGTTCTTGTAGCTCGTGGGGACTAGATATCTGTGTTATTAACATCGTATTCACTCTCTAACTTCTCTTTGGTGTAATACAGCATTTTCTTTACTCACTACAGATCTGAAAACAGCAACTTATTTGATTTCTAAATACTTTCATTACTCTTTAATCATGTACGTTTTCAGCCAAAATTATTTTCTTCCCCACTGGAAAAATAAATAACAAGCTGACTTTCCTCTCCACAAACCTTCTGCCTGTTTCCAAGCAAGTGTTGTTCCTGAGGCTCTGACCTTCTCCTGCATCCATATGGAATGTCTGTTTTAATTTTCTGTTTCCTAAAGTTTAATACCACTCAAAAGGAGGAAAGAGAGTGACACCCTCAGCTCAGAGCTAGTGATGAGGGAGAGGTGTAGGGTCAGTGGAGGTTTGGACCTGTGTGTGCATATGTTTTGTGTTGTATGAGTGAAAGGGGTTGGAGCCAAATATAGCATCTGTTTAGCTTGAATAGTGTATTGCTGTTTTATTTCGTATCCTGTTTATTGTTCTGTCTATTTGTTAACATTTCCCCACTGTGGGACAAATATAAAGATTATTTTACTCTTATCTAGAGATGATGAAACATTTTTAAATAGAGAATTTTTTTTTTTTTAAATATACAAGTTTGTATATATAAACACACACAGGGCCATGACATAAATAGCATCAAATCAAACGCATGTAAACTTGAGGCAAAAATATCAAGTGCAGTTAAAGAATCGTTGTCCCAAGCTTCACATGTTGATGCTTTTATTCCGTGCTTTTATAACAGTCTTTCATGTCGGATTGGATTTTCCAAAACAGCAGCCGCAGAACCTAACATCACATGTGCAGCAGCCTATACTTACTCATACCTCACAGTACAATGAAATTAGCCAAATTGCTGTTTTCTAAATTGGTAGGTTGGGTTGCGTTAAAAGCTCTACAATTACAGGGGAAAGTTTAACACCCTCCCTATGATGCAGAAAAACGCTTGCAGATATTATCATGATGCTTTTTGTGCAGTCAGGCTATAGAGTGTATGAAATTATACTTATTCATTTGTTAGACATTCAAAATAATCTGTCAAATGTTCCTGCTGGAACACTGTACTGTTGTCAATGCTGTGACGGACTGTGTGTGCGTGTGTGCGTGTGCATTGTGTGTTTTTGGATTAAGGACGTAGACATGTTCGGACTAATTCTGAGCAAAACCTTTTCAGCATATTTATTCAAAAAGTCAGGCATCTCTGACCTCTCTTGGCTTGTTACACACACGTACCTTTGTGAATGAATAATCTGAACTCTGCAATCTATAACAATGAGACTGTTTCATTCTAGCCTGGCGTTTCCTTTGCATAATTGTTATTTAAGCGTAACAACAGAGGATCCAGGCTGCAAATCAAACTGATTCTTATCATCTTTCTTTTATGCATGTATTAACCTTTCCAAGAAGCTCAATATTAGCATATCATGATTAGGACTGATAGGACAAGAGTGGAGCCTTCGGGCCATACTATTTTCTCCAAAACTTTAGGTTCTGTTTTGGGGTCTCTGCTGCGCCCTCTAGTGGACATCTGCTGAACATTGTTTCACTTTGCATTGCAACCATCAGACACCTTGACTTTGTGGCCTCAGGCACTTTGGCACTTTGCTCTTTCTTCTGTAAAACACTCCTCAGATTATGAGTCCGGGGCCCTAATTTGTAACTGGAGCCACATATGCATATAAATGGAGAGTGTTGTTGTTTGATCAAAGATAATATGTTCACGGGTTCAATAGTTCCCAAAGTGGTGGTCGGAACACAAGCTGGAGTTGCAAGATGATTTCCAAATGTTAATTTGGAAATCAAATCAAATCTAATCTAAACTAAATTATAATGATATTATATTTACATCACATGACACTTTCAGTGAAATTTGATCAAATATTAATGTTTTCCTGCAGTGGAGATTGCAAGTCTGTTTCATTCTTATTTTGGGAGTCCCAGTATTGTTTTGAAATCCTTTCACTCATCAATGTGAAGTTTAACACTTGGAGTCATAATATTTTCATCACATTTCCTTATCATGAATGAAGAACTTCTGCCAAGTTTGTTCAGTAAATCATATAATTAAAAAGCAATAAATGTTAAAAGGGTTACCGCTGGCTACAAGTGGAATGCTCTCGGAGTTTCTCACAATTAGTGGGTCATGGCATTTATAACTTCTGACTTTTCAAAGTGTCAAAACTCTCGGCGTAATCCCCCTTACTGTGCGCTTATGAACACAGGTATAAATCCACAGAGACATGTGAGTCAAAGGAATGCTGCATTTATGGCCCTGGCTGCATAATCCTCTGCATATCCGGGGGCAATGAGGTGTAACCCTTCAGAAGAAGGAGCCCTTAAACATAAAACATCTCATTGCTATATTTTGAAATATTTGTACTGGTAAAAAAAAACGTTTTGGTCACATCCCTGTTCTTCTGCTTTACCCGTTTCTCAATCACGGAGGTAGGAGTCTCTATGTTCAGACTTCCCGGTCCATGCACACTATTTTTCTTTGTTGAATATTATTTTATATAATATCAACAAGACACTAGATGGGGTACCTTACGTTAATTTGGTCATATATAATACAGGTAATTTGTCCAACAGAAAGAGTTTTGTAAATATTGTGAACAATATTTAAGTCTAGTCTAAAGACACATTTTTACGCCTTGGCTTTTAGCAGCAATTTAGTTTTACCATTTTACTTTTTCATGAATGTGTATGTATTTTCTGCTGTTTCTTTTATTTTTATCTGTTGTGCCTGTGAAGCACTTTGGGCAGCTGGTGTTGTTGTAAATGAACAAATAAAGTTGACATTAACAATGACACTTTTTGATGCTATTGGCTGAGCATGGTACTCTTTTCATTTACATTTTCTGTCTAAAGAAACCTGAGGCTAAAAAAACGCACATAAAAACTGAAGATGTAAATGGATTTTATTACATAGTTCCAGTTTTGTGATTTGAAACCAAAATATACACAAGCCACATTGACCATGTGAAATATTTGATTTAACTTAAATGAAGCAGCAAAATATGTTCTGGCCCTGCTTTAACATCTTTAAAAGAGCCAGACCACAGAACTATGGAAGTGTATTCCTGTGGTCATGTGTAAAAGCAGGCATAGTGTGCGGCTGGTCGCCCAAAACAGAAAAGGAATGCTTTATGGAACAAGGCCAAATTGTCATTCTCTACCCTTGCGCTCTGGCTGCAGTTTATCATGTCACCTTGGACTCGGAAATGAATTGGTTGTTGGTGTATGGGCTCAGTCACAGCTGTGTACAGGCTCTGCATCCACAGCGAGTCCATCTCCAGGGAGGGAGCGTCCTGAATGAGAGAGATAGATACTGGAAGAATCGAGACAGATACATGGTCAGCCACCCGTAACACAAGAAACACCGTTTGAAAATGCACATTAACAGTGAATTATCTGTGAGTTTTATCTAATAGAAAAAAGCTGATGTTATTATAAGGCTGGTATTTAGGTGGCACAGAGGTCTCCCCTCCCCTTCCTGAGCTTATGTAATACTCTGGCACTCTCATTTGGTGGCACAAGTTAATGTTAATGTGCAAACAGCTTCCTCCGATCTGTCAGAAGCAGCTAATGGTGTTGCAGTAGGGGCCTGTAGTGCAGTCTGCCGTGTCATGTCTCTGCTGCGCTCTGCTTCAAGCTTTGAACCTTGTTACAGGGATGTCCCGATCGGCCACTCATCTGCACCGTCTTCAGCATATATCAGATTTGGCCTAGAACCTAGCTCAATTTTGAACCTAAATCTGTAACCAGCAGTTTAAACATAGAGAAGGCTCTAAAGCGCTAAAACATAATCATTTACTGCAGTCTTCATGGATTCCTAAGAGTGGATTCCTATATTTATGCAAATGAGCTCAGCACCTGAGTGTACAAGTTTGTTCCTGTTTAGTAGCTGAAGGCCTCCAGTATAAATAATATGGTGAAAATACACTGCCTTTAGAAACAGAATCTTACAAGGACCCTGTACAATAATACTCTGAATGTGTTGAACTTCAAGTCAATCATTTTGTAATCTTACAACAAATAATTTGTCTGTTTTAAAGTAGACATATCATACACTTGTGATAGTTGATTCATTCTTCTTGAAATTAAATCTGAAATCTGGCACAATTGTATACTAAATGATCAAAGCAACAGATCGAACACCTCATTAATTATTTTTCCAGATCTGTGATAGATTTTTTTAGGTTTCAATCAGTATTTTTCCATACTATTTCTGTGAGGTTAAAGGTGTATATTTTGCATATAAAAAATCAAATCCCCTAGAAATTGTATTAACAGTTTCATCATTAAACTAAATCATGACAAACGTGAATCCTGTTTAATACAACCGGAAGCCACTAACAGCAGCTGTCGTGGTCTCACTACAGCATTTATGAACCGCCAGTGATGCTGGTGTTGAGGTTTTGTTATTAAATCACACTTATTTATGCGTCTAGTCAAAGCAGGTTTTCTTGGTATTTAGAGCCAGCAGTTCAGATATTTCAAGGCCCTTCCTCCTTTCTGCATCAATAAAATAAATTATGAGCCGTGTACAGTTAATCACTAAAGCCTTTTCTTGGCACAAACCTTACGTTGCCAGAAGTATTTGTTGCTTGTTGCTATTCACTATGCTAATTTCAGTTGGGTGCTGTTTCTATCAAACTCCTGAGGGGCCGCTGACATGTTCCTGGGACCTGCGTGCACGACAGGTGGACTGGTTTATGGGGCAGCAGACACAAGATCTGCAAATTGGCTCTGAGCACGTCCACTGCCAACAGGCCTGGCACATCTGTGGGTGTCCAGCCCAGCCAGCCTCAGCTCCCATTGTTCTGCTTTGAATGCACCCAACACCCATGGGAGCTGCAGAGATACAACCTACACAGCTTCCTAGATAATCTGAACACATGAAAGACTTCGTTAGCCTAGATTTAAGCTTTTGTCTGAAAAGAAAAACCTACTCGCTTGAGATTCGTTTTAGTTCTGATGTTGTTTGTTGGCGTACTCACCCAAAATGATTTCATTGTAGGGGTCTCTTACGCAAGTGTACACGTTGCACCAGTCAAGTAAATACAATATGATGCACTGCTGTGGACAAAAAAGTATATTATATGTTTATCCAAAAACTAAAACATGATATTAAAATGAATATTTATCTTATTGTAAATTACATCCTATTAAGACAACATTATTAAAGATTGAAAAGCAACTGGAACCTTGAGCATTTGAGTTGCAGTGGGATAATTCTTCTTAAAGATCCTTTTTGCATTGATTAGTTAAAGTGTCAGTGACTCTGTTAAACCTATACAGAATAAACTTGGATCTGACCTGTCCTCTGAAAGACCTGTAAATGCAATCAATGATCATCTATAGTATGTTTTATTTTAAATGTTTTCAGGGTTGTGTTCTTAAAGCCTTAAAGGAAAAAAGATCTTTGAATCTCAACGGGAGAAAAAAACTGCATATTGTATGAACATAAAATTGTATATTTGTGTTCATATTTGTATTCATACGCTGTTTTACCTGTGTAACCTGCCTCGCGATGACAGATGTAAATGAGCAGTTTTGAGATAACCTGGCACATTTACAATTTGTGTACTACACGTGTGTCATCCCAATCCAAAGAAAAACTCAATAAATAGCACACAAAAAAATGTAGATCCAGTCTAACCCTAACACTAACTAAACTATAGTCTACACATCGCTTTTGTTTGTAGTTTTTTTTTAATCGTTTATTTGGAATCAGGAAATTATATATTCCCTCAATCACCTACACCTCAATCACCTATACAGTTTTCCAATGTGGTTTTACTGCAAATGGCAAATAAATGAATCTGAATCACCTATTTCCCTACATTGAAGAGGTTTCATTTGAGGTTGCAATTTGCAGTATTTCCATATATAGAGAATACAAACATACATACGCACATACACATACTTTCATACATATATTTTAGTGTTTTCTTTGTGCATTATAAGGTTAACAATAACACAGAAGTGGCGAGCCCAAACACTGAAGCATATTCATGGTTTGTGTTATTTACACTGCTCTTATTTAAGTCTACACACACAAAGGCAGCGCTGGGGTTTGTCCTGCGGAAAAGAGGATTTAGAAGCATTGATCTATGTGTGTAGTGCTAGGACAAGGCCAATGGCACATTTATCAGGAGCACGCAGGCAGCAGAATTATTGAAGATATTGCACTATTCTGACTTTGATCTTACTTCTCTATAATTTTAAACCCGCCTTCATCTTTTCACTACAGCTGCAATGTGGAAATGCTTTGCTAGAATCTATTTATAAAAACCTTATAAATGTTTTGGCTCTCAACCTGACCATCACGACTAAAGGCACACTCCAAAAAAATTCCACCCAAGTGATAATTTTGAGCCTGAAATATTCGCTAATTGGTTCTGAAGCTGAAATAGAAACTGACTTTTATAACTTGGCTCATATGGAGTCTAGATGCAATGTTATCCAGGCTGTTTATGACTCCTGATTATGGAGTGATGAGCTGGAGGATTCCTGGAGTGTCATAGAGTTTAACAACATCCCTGACAGTGTGAGGAGCTCTGCGGTCCGAGCCATCTGTCAGTCAGACACTTGCAGCCACTGAAAGTCAAGATTTATCTATGTTCTGCTGCTGTGGATAATGTTTTATGATTGTGTGGGGCTCTCGTTTTGATTTACTCGGATTTAAACATGCTCGCACTGACAAACGATCATTCTTCTTGCATGGCCACAACTTCTCTTTGTATCCTCAAGCCTTAACCTAAGACTGCACAAAGGACTGAAAAGATTTCATTTGTTTTTGTTCATATTTCCAATGTTGAAATATATTTTATAACTATTTCACAGCAAATGCTTTTCTACCTTCATGTGGATCTGCAGCAGTTTGTAGAGTAGCTCAGTAGGAAGGCAAGCCAACACAAGTATTAAGGGTCAATTACTGAGTACAGTGATTATAGGACAAATTAATTAAATCTAGTTGAGAGAAACAGCTGATATGAACCTCACCAAAGTGCCCTTTTGATTTTGAAATCACTGCTTAAACATGGCTAACTGCTGCTGGTTAACCGAGGCAGATGTTTCAAAATTAACATTGAATGATAATCCTCTGATAATCACCAACTCTTCTGCAACGTGCAAAGAGAAACGTTTGCACAAGAAGATTAATGTATGCGCATGAATTCTGCATGAACCCCATCAGTCTCATGGCCCAGTCAGTACAGTCATGCCCATAGACCAGATTTAAAAAATACATATTTACATATCGCTGGTCAATAACACACAGTGTCTGACCCAACAGAGGTCATGAAATCACATAAAAGTCTTTCAGTGATTTACTTTGTGCGGGATGTCCCTCTGGAGATGTTCAAATTAATGGTGTAATTATATTGTACTATGGCATGATAGAGTATGTGATTTATGTCCATATAGACACACATGATATCCCCCCCACGCACGCACACACACACACACACACACACCTCACACACAGCGAGCTCCTCATGGGATGTGCTCCGTCTTTGCTCCAAGGACAACTGTCTCCTCTCCCCATTTATCTAACACTTTTAGCTTGTCCTTTCCAAAACCATGGGCTTTCTCTCTTAACGTTTTACATAGAGTGTTTATTAAAGCGTTGCATTTTCGTAAACTGTTCAGATAATTTATTACATTTTTTCTCTCCGGCACGTTTTCTCCCTGACACTCCGGTTTCCCCAAAGCACCTAAATTCCTTCAGCCAAGGTCCTGACAAAGCCGAGAATAAAATATACCTCATCTTGCCAGGATATTTTATGAACAGTGGAAATGTTGCTCCTTAAGTTTAGTTTGTGATCTACTCATCTATCTATTACCATATAATAATCATTTTGTCCTTAGTACCCCTTATTATTGACCTTCTGTTGAGGAGAATGAATCCAGATCCTCCGAACCAGCAGCTGCACAGGTAAAGAATGTACCAGAAAACAACACATGCAGGGCAGATTCATGAAGACATCAGACAGAATTCAGTGGATCTAAAGCAGATGATAATATTATTTATTGATATTATTTACTAAGCTTTGTTTCAGAGACAAAGGTTCATTGACATTAAAATAGACAGGACAGAAACAAACATAATACAGAGAAAGGACTTGAAAAAGGCTTCGACGTCAGTGAGTCCACATACAGGTAGTATTGCACTGAGCTTCAGAGTCATGATGATACTGTTCTTTGACTATTATGCAGAAGTAAAAGGTATTTGAGAGACTTGTCATTTCACACATTATTGTCACATTAGTCTTCAGACTGCCTT